GGGGAAAATTTTCTTAACTAAGATAAAGAAAAGATTGGTAAACATGATTCCATTAAAGTTTAAAGCCTTTGGTCAAAGACAAAACAAAGTTAATAATATCCATGATATGTTATAAAGAACTCTTATACAAAGACAAATAAAATAACCTCAATGAATCCCAAACAATAAAATGAAAAATTAGCCATTTTCAACTTGCAAAAGAAAAAATGAAGCAGAAAACCTTAAGAAAAAAAAGAAAAGACTTGGCTTGGCACCCGTAGCTCAGTGAGTAAGGCACCATCCACATACACCAAGGCTGGTGGGTTCGAGCCCATCCCGGGCCTGCTAAACAACAATGACAACTGCAACAAAAAATAGCCAGGTGCTGTGGTGGGCGCCTATAGTCTCAGATACTCAGTAGGCTGAGGCAAGAGAATCACTTAAGCCCAAGAGTTCGAGGTTGCTGTGAGCTATGATGACATAGCACTCAGTCAGTATACCCAGGGTGACACAGTGAGACTCTGTCTCAAGAAAAAGATAAATGACATAAGATAGAAAAAGTGGCCCTAAGATATTAATGAGCAATTAGCAGAAGAGAAAAGTTGAATAGCTAGTCAGCAAAGAGTCACTGGAAGGTTTACATCATGATGAGTGAAGATATTTGGGGAAAATATGCAAATTAGCTTGGGATGGGGAGTTGCGGTTGAGATTCTAGAGGCTAAGAGACCACTTAAATAATTTAAGAGGTTACCAAAAGTGAAATTAGGGATTGTTGTTATATATTCTTTAGTAAGATGCTTTATACTTAATATTTGTAGAATTTATAATCAAAAGAAAAATGATCAAGGTAATTTAGGAGCTATGCAAATTACCTGTAATGATGTGTAGTCATTCAATTTATTTAACAATGTGTTTTGAGATTAACCTGATTTTAGACTTAAAGATTTTATGTTGTGAAGTGTAAATTGTTTTGCTTTTCTAATTTAACATTTAGTTACAATAGAGTAAGCTTTTAAAGGCTGATGACTAATACAGACGTGTGCTCTACTGCATACTATTTATGCATATGGTGTTGGATGTTTTTATTTCTAAGGGATAGATTTGTATTTCTGTTTATAAAAAACAATTTTGTTTTGATTTTATGTTTTTGTACACAAATAGCTGCAGAACTATACCACAGAGATGACTGTTAAAATAGCCTTTGTAACTACTGATGTTTATAGAATAAGCTTAGGCAGTAACGCTTACTGTCTTCCTTGTGATCCTGCTGGGGTGTCTGTTCCTGGCTATATTCCAGGCAGCTATAGTTCCAAGGGGCAGAACTGGACCATCAGAGTGAAGCTCTGTCTGGGGTTAGGAGGGGAAGGGGAATGGAAGGGCTGAAGTCTCTCTGGGATGAATCTGTAAGGCAGCATCTAAGCTTGCCTGAGGAAAGGAAGGAGAGAAGTCAGTTGCAGAATGAATATAACAGATGAATCTGTAAGGCTGCAGCTAAGCTTGCCTCAGGACAGGAAGGAAAGAAGTCAGTTGCAGAATGAATATAACAATGTAAATCCTCCTGTTTAACTTGCTGATCCCAAATCGGGAAGCCATTCCCCATTTAATGGCAACAAAATTCGTATCTTCTCTAGTCTTAAAGTTGTTGGAGCATAATTGCTAAAAGACAAGGTTAGCCTGAAAGTTTAAAAAGAGTGGTAGATGAATAATTACTGATTTGAGACCTGTCCTAACCCTTGTTTCACACTCTCCACACGTAGAGCAAGAGGACTGAAATAGAAGTGGTGTTTTAATGATTTTGTCCAATTCTGATATTATTTTACAGTATTTTCCCCAGATTTTTTTTTTATTTTTTGTAGCAAACTGTTTACGTAATTTTTATTTCAATATACTCTCAGGCTACAATAGTTCTAAGTAGTTTTTTCCTGGGAAAAGCTTGAAAAATCTGAGAAGATAGTTTGGGTCTTTTTTGTTTTTTGTCTTAAGAGGTTTTCATAAATGTCTGCCAAGGAAAATGAAAGAGACTAATAATTAAATTTTTGTGCTGGATATTTTTGAAAAATGTAACCAACCCTGCCACCCAACTATGAATGACTTACCCTGTAATACTGTTTTCATCTATATTCATACTATAAACATAGTAAGAAAAGATAACAGGTAATTTTGGTTTACTTTTTGCAATTGTTGTTAATTATGAGCATTAATTTTTCCTTTTCTTTTTGAAGGTGATATGGAAAGCCCTGTGTTTGCATTTCCCTTGCTCTTAAAAATAGAGCCCCACATTGAAAAGCTCTTCCTGTATTCTTTTTCTTGGGACTTTGAGTGTTCACAGTGTGGACACCACTATCAAAACAGGTTAGTGATTTTTTTTTATTTTTTTAGGTTGATTCATTATATTGAAGGTGGTTTTGAATAACATAATTTGAATAAAACTTGTATCTCCTTGTACCAGTGCTCTCTCTCTGGTTTCTTCTACCTTTAAAAAAATTTACTACACATTCAGAAGTTTCTTCACCACTGAGGTTAAAAGAAGAAATTTGGGCACAAGAAACTGCAGTTTGTTTGCGTCTTTACATTGGAAGGGTCAAAACCGTTTGAGAGATGGCTTGTAAGAGTTTTCTTTAAATTTTCTTTAATGGGAAGTGGGGACAAATGAGAATAGCATCCCTTTTCCTCTCTGGATTTGCTCTTCCCTGAAACTTGTATGAGTTTTGTTTACTCCTCTATTAGAGACTAGAGTTTTTGTTTGTATAATTTAGTTTTTAACGTCATAGTAATTGCTTTTAGGTGCTTAAAGTCTGACACTTCTTCTCAGAGGTAATGCCAGTTTCCTCATTACTTCCCTTAGTCCATGAAAGACCAACTACCACCAGAATTCTCCATGTCACCTATCTCAGGCACCCTTTCTCCTTACCTCATGTCACTTGGTGAGGAGTAGGGAAGCAATGATTGATGTGTATGTTACCTTTATATATGTGAGGTATGAAGGTACCATATGTTATGGCATATATGTGTGTATACATTATACACATAGGCATGCTGTGTGTATAATGTATACATGAAACATACATGAATTTCATGCTTAGACTTGGGTCCCATCTCCAGGATATATTTCATATATGCATATATTTGAAAACACTTCTGGTCCCAGACATTTCAGATAAGTGATGTTTAACCTCATAAGGAGAGGAATTAGGTTTCATAAGAGTCAGGGGGAAAAAAAAAAAAGTCATGATCCCCTCCCTTGTCCGTATCTGAGGAAGTTGTTGTCTGGCAGTTAAAAGATTACCAGACTGGCTCTGTCAGACATTTATTCAACTAATTACAATAGATACAAGTCTTTTCCTCTTTTCTTTAACTCAGCTACTAGTAAGTTAGAAAATTTAGAGTCTATCAATGTTACTAATTGAAAATGTAAGAGAAGAATCTTACTTAGCTATTCATTATCTAAATAGGAATTTAGGCAGCAATTAAGGAGCTCACTCTGAGAGAATGCTCTAGGGAATACAAGTAACAAAGTATTTGGGTTGTTTTAAACTAGATAAAACTACTAGAATAGGGTGAAAATTAACATTTTACTATTTACCTAGAACTTAAATAATTTAGTGTAAACAAGTAAATATAGAAAAAATGTCAGTTTCCAGGTCTTCTATTATTGCTTTATATAAATTATCTGGTTTTCTTCTCACGGTAACTCGGTGAGGAAGATACTGGTATTCTCATTTGACAAATAGAAGCTTTGACTCTTGAAAGGGTTCGATGCCCAAGGTGACGGACTAGTGAGTGGCAGTTACGAGTCACATTTAGGCTTGTGTGGTCTCTGAGACTTTCTTATGCGCTATAGTGTACTCCCTAATTACTACCTAGGTTTTGAATAATATAAATAATTTTGATGATGGAAATCAGCTTAATTTTAGCTTTTTTTTACAATCTGTATCTTAGTCATTTGTCAGTTTTTATGGAGTATGTTCTGTGTGCCAGAAACTCACCTAGGCACTAGAAATAGAATTTTCTGGCCAAATTCAGACAAGTTTCTTAGGGAGATGATCCGTGAAAACATAATAGAAGACCAGTGCCTTTTCATTAAACAGTTTCAATATGTCATAACTTGAAACTTATTTTTAGCCTAAAGGAAATTGTTCAGCAACTCTATTTGTTTCTGTGGTAGTGCCAGTTTATGGGCTTCTGCTTGATTTAGGAAGTAGGAGGTCTGACAGTTAAGTTTGTGAACTTGCCACTGTGAACATATGTTGTGACACTGAACGAACAGCTTGGTAATGTTTCATAACCTTTGTGTATCAGTGTCATACAGCTGTGTTCATGTCAACACGTGGCGGTGTCTTGCTGAGTGGTTGTCATTAATGTTTTGAGAATGTCAGAGCTTGAATTAGAGCAATGAACAAACGTTAAATTTCTTACTAAACTTGTCAAGAGTGGAAGTGAAATCTGGCACACATTAGTCTTAAGTTTATGGGGATAATGCCATGAAGAAAACAGCAATGTATAAATGGATTAAATGTTTTTTCTGAGGAGAGAGAAAGCATTGCTGATGAAGAGAGGTCAGAACAGCCAGAAACAAGCAGAACTGATGAAAACATTACAAAAATTCATCAAATTATATGTCAAAATCATTGGCTGACTGTGAGAGGCATAGTAGGCCAAGTAAACATCAATAGAGAAACAGAAAAATCTGTTTTTACGGTTAGTCAAATGAAGCAGTGGGAGTAGAAAAGAAACAAAGGAATCTGTATCTGGTGTGGTCAATTATAAACACCACTGCACTTGGTCCAGCCCAATTAGGAAAATCTTTTAACTAAAAATTCTGGCATGAGAAAGGTATGTACAAAAATGGTCCCGAAGCAGCTCACCTATAAACAAAAAAGCAAGGAGAGTTAAGTTTGCTAAGACCTTTTAGAGAGGCAAATGATGTTTGAGACTGTGTTATCGCTGGTGATGAAACATGTGTGTACCAATACCCCCCTAAAATTCTCCATGACCAAACAAATGCCCTCAGTCCAAATCAAGAGTCAAAATGATGTCACTGGGCTCATGCCCACATGGGCAGTGGCTCACACCTGTAATCCCAGTACTTTGCGGGGCTGAGGCTGGTGGATCACTTGAGCTTATGAATTCAAGACCAGCCTAAGCAAGAGCAAGACCTTGTCTCTAAAAATAGAGACACTGTGGCGGATACCTGTAGTCCTAGCTACTTGGGAGACTGAGGCAAGAGTATCACTTGAGCCTAAGAGTTTGAGGTTGCTGTGAGCTATGACGTGATGGCACTTTACTGGGGATAAGAAAGTGAGACTGTGTCTCCAAAATAAAAAAAAATGATGTTGCTAATATTTTTATTAGAGGGATTTTTCATTATGAATTTCTAGTGAATAGACAGTTAATCAAGTTTACTATTTGAAAGTGCTGAAAACACTGTGTGAAAAAGATAAAAACAACCTGAACTTTTTGCCGAGAACTCATGACTCATGCATCAAGATGATGCATTAGCTCACACGGTACTGTCTGCAGGGAGTTTTTAGCCAGTTAACAGATAACTCTGTTGGAATGCCCTCTCTACTCACCTTATCTGGCCCCCAATGACTATTTTCTTTACTCTTAAATAAAGGAAATATTGAAAAAAAAAAAAACATTTTAATTACATTCAGGACATCAAGTTCTGATGGCCATTCCAGAAAAGGAGTTCCAAAATTGCTTTGAAGGGTGGACTAGGTGCTGACATCAGTGCACAGCTTCCCAAGGGGAAGTACTTTGAAGGTGACCATAGTGATACTCAGCAATGAGGTATGTAGCACTTTTTAAAGGATGCATTCACAAACTTAATTGTCAGACCTTATCTATTCTGGAGATAGGTAAAAATATGGTCTTTGGATGCAGACTCCCAGGATTCAGATCTCAAGTCTGTCATTTAACTGCCAGTGGTTATCTCACTTAGGATTTGTTAATATTGCTTATTGTTTAGAAAAGAAGTTTTACCTTTGGTAATACATAACTAACTGTTCTTTTAATTAGAACTATTTCTGAGGATGCAGTAGAGGTTTGGTGTACATCATGAAAAGTTATCTCTCCAAGTGGCTATTCTTAATCAAATATTAGGACTACAGGACAAACTTGGAACATGTATAACCTGTGAAAACAAAATTATCTCACAACTGATGCTGTAATTTTTTTTTAAGGATCAAGAAAATTAAGTTGTATGTTTTCTTCATTATACAGGGTCTGACAGTTAAGTTCACAACCTCATCCTAGGAAAATTGCTGTATACCTTATTGCTGAGTATTGGTCACCAGATGGCCAAAGGGAGCACTTCAAAGGTGACCTTAGTGATTGATATTCGTCAGTGAGGTTCATGTATGTAGCACTTTTTCTAGGATGAGTTCATGAACTTAATTTCTGACCTTGTGTATTTGAAAACAGCTTATTTCATTTTTGGCTGTCAATAATGGTAGCCAGATTTGAATTATGGAGTGAGCTCTCAATAAATTTGGCAACCTTGGCTCGGCGCCTGTGGCTCAAGCTGCTAAGGCGCCAGCCACATACACCTAAGGTGGCAGGTTTGAATCCCCAGCCTGGGCCCGCCAAACAACAATGATGGCTGCAAAAAAAAAAAAAAAAAAATTTGGCAACCTTAGAACATTGGTTCTAACTGGGGCCATTTTACCTCTGATAGGACATTTGGCAGTGTCTGGAGACACTGGTTGCTGTTACTGGCATCTGGTGGATACAATCCAGGGATGCCGCTAAACATCCTACAGTGCACAGGACAGTGCTCACACAAAGAATTATCTGGTGCACAGTGTCAGCAGTACTGTCGAGAAATCCTGGCTTCAGCAGTTTCTTACTGCATGTTATAGTGAAAAACTCTTAAGTAATTAATGTGGGGAGTCTTCATATAGTAAATAGAACTTCTTTACGAGGGTTAGGGAGGAACGTTTTTATATTAATACATGATGTGGGGAAATTATATGTTAATATAAAGGTATCTGAATAAGTAATTGAAGGGGGATTACCTTTTGTTTTAGACATTGCTTTAAATGTGAATGCATTTAACATAAATTATTTTGTTGTGTGTGTGTTTTTTTTAAGGTATACGAAGAGTTTGGTCACCTTTACAAATATCATCCCTGAATGGCACCCACTTAATGCTGCCCATTTTGGTCCATGTAACAGTTGCAACAGTAAATCACAAATAAGAAAAATGGCATTGGAAAAGTGAGTTCACGGTGCCTTACAAGTTTTAGCATAAAATAAAGGCATATTTATACTTCTTTAATATGTAGAATTGAAAATGATGACAGCAATCTACCTTTCAGAAATTTGAATTAGACATGTATTTGTGCATTGCCAGCTGCCTCTCTGTATCAGGAACTTTGGCCGGTAGCTGGCTGTCCTAGGGTAAATGCCATGGAAATACTGACTTGGGCTGATTGTCTTGCCCCACATTCCTGGTGTCTTTCCTTTCTGTACTTTTTTTTTCCTTTAAGGATATAATTTTCTGGGCTTGGTGTCTGTAGCTCAGCGGCTAGGGCTCCGGAGCTGGTGGGTTCAAATCCAGCCTGGGCCTGCCAAACAACAGTGACAACTACAACCAAAAAATAGCCAGGCAGCACTGTGGCAGGCACCTGTAATCCCAGCTACTTGGGAGGCTGAGGCAAGAGAATCACTTAAGCCCAAGAGTTGGAGGTTGCTGTGAGCTGTGACAACACAGCACTGTACCCAGGGCAATAGCTTGAGACTGTCCACTGTCAAGTCTCTACAGTCACTAGAATGCTGAAGTTTTCTTAATCTAATTTCAGGAACTAAGATAATTGAAAAGACATGCCACAGGCTCATCTGTCCAAATTTCCATCATCCCCCAGATCTCGGCCTACTAATTCTTTATCATCTTACAAGCTTTCTGCTGCCTTTCAACAGATGTATTTTCAGTATATTTTGCCTGCTTTTCTGTTTCTCCTTAGTGAAGTTGGTTAGAATTATCTTTTCCAGTGTTACCAGAAGCCTATCTCTTTAAACTCCATCTTACCCGGTTTGTGTTTCTTGTTAATCTGCTTACACATGTACATATCCTCCTACTGAAATGTTTAGAGGTTTAATTTAGTGTATCAAAGAACCAGTGACATTAACTTCTGATGCTCTTGAATGTGCCAGAATTCCCTCAGAATCTTGCCTAAAGGTTTATTCTCATTCAAGTAATAAATTCCCAGTTAATCTAACAGTGCTAAAGACTTAACAGGAAAAAAGGGCGTCTACTTTAAACCTTCAAGTTAAGGTGGTGTTTATTTGGGCCTTTGAAAGTGAGGTGCTTATTCTGCTGTGATATACCCTGTTCTCCTTTCATGGTAGTTGAGGGCTAAGGTTCTCACACCAACACCTGGCCCCATCCGTTTAGCCTTTCTCCATTTTTCCAGTGTGATTATGTATTTGGTTAAATCAGAACTCAGTGTTTGTATTGTTAATATAGATGTTTC